TCAATCATTGTTTGACGTATCTGTCTATAATTTTTAATAAACTTCTAAGTAGTAAACTTTGACGTACGTATCTATAAATAACATATGAAAACAACCAGTGTTCTCTTCTAATATCAAACAATAATCTGTAGTAATAAACTTGCAAAAGGAAGTCTGAAACTCACTGTCACAAGTTGAGTTGAGTATTAAACTGAGATATTATTATTAAATAAATAAAACTATATCTACTCAGTAGATCCATTAGATATAACAGATTAATTAACAAAATATACCAATCAAATGAAAGATTTGTTCAGTTTAAAATCACAAGCGATTATTGCAAATTATTTTGAAAGTAGCTCCTTAAGAAGCACAAAATGTCCAAAGAATCGTTTGCTAAACGGCTTCTTATTTTGTTGGCCAGATAACCGACAAATCGCAACTCCGTCCGTGTCAGTCCGCGCTTCTAATAACACGTGTTTATGGTCGAGTGCAATCTCGTTAAACTCGCGAGATCTCGCCGTCGATCGTAAACGAGTTTGCATTTTTTACTTAGGTGGTTTGGTCATGTAGAAAGAGTGACAAAGCAAATTTATGTGGTTTATCGACCGATACGAAGGTTTATCGATTAAATTGGCGATATAATGAAAACGAGCTAGATTAGGACTACCCTTAACCGACAAGCGTGTATGCGTAGTCGATATGTATGATGGATGTGAAGGAGGCGAGAGAGGTGTGTCAGGATCGTGCCATATGGAAGTCCGTAGTCTCTGCCTACCCCTCCGGGTGACAGGCGTGAGGGTTTATGGTATTACAAATTTACGCACGCCTTTTATTACAGTCTACTCAAAATAATTTAAGTGTATTGTTATTATTCATAACACAGTTTTTGGAGAGCTAGCTATACGTAATCGGATATCTTAATTGTTACTGACAAAAAGAAAATGAGTGCAAGGATGCTTTCGTATCTACGTCCAAGTCCGTTCCCATGCTGATGGAGGATTCTACTTGTTACCAGTAAATCTATGTATCGCCTTTGTCGATTCGCTCATAGATAATAAATATTGTATAAAATTTCTACACGCACGCGCAATGTGTTACACATCGAAAGCATGTCGGCGTAATCCCGAAAAATCCCGCAGGATTATGCATGATTCATGTGCGTTAATCACGAAAATATCCTGCGCGAAACTGATATTTTGTGATCTCGGTATCTTGGTATTAAGTTCTCTAGATCGAATCAAAAGTTACACAAGCGTTAGTTAAAATTCTCAGATAATATGTTTATTAAAAAAACCGTAACAAAACCGTATTATGCAAATATTACATACCAATTTTATTATCCGTCGTGTAGTGACTTTTGATAGGCTTTAATGATGACGATGATGATGACGGATATGATTTTGAATTGAGAATTGAGATCATTAAGATGCTGCTGCTCACCTCCTGTTTCATTTCTCTCTTTCGCTTCTTGAAGCACACTTGTTTCTTTTACGCCGCCACTAGACGGCGCTAAATTTGTATAAATGCATAAATAATTACAATATTGTTTATGCAAAACACACACACACACACACACACACACACACACACACATATATATATATATATATATATATATATATATATATATATATATATATATATAAAGTATAAAAGCGAAATACCACTGTCTGACTCACTCACCACGAGATCTCTAAAACTGTACACCCGATTGACTTAATTTAGTGTAGTTACTCATTTTGCAATGTAGACGGATCCCTAAGAACGGATTTTATGATAGTCCCATCAAAAAAATATCTTGATATTTTACATCTAGGTTCCGCATTAAATTATTATCGTGCGTATCAGGTACTCCTGTATATTTGAAATTACGAATGATGATAATATGTGTGAGCTCATTCTACTTATTTATGAATCAAAACATGTCTGTGTCCAAAAGGTGTCTAGGAAAATATTTTTGTAATAATTAACTATACTTACTATTCTCGTGAAATGGGTAGGATGATGTTAGACTAAGGTGACTAATTGTTTAGTGTGGAGGTGCGATGTGTCATAATAAATTACTATAATAGCCACGCTTTTGTGCTAACGCATAAAAGCTATTTTTGTATCACCCCACGATACTTAATCTATTGTTAACCTTCGCGATATTTTTGTCATCACCTTTGAATTAGATTCGGTTATCTTTGTAACGCTATTTCTAACGGTGTAACTAAAAACATTAATAAGTATATAAGTATTTGAAAATAAAGTTTGGAATGCCCGTTTTCCTTGCTTAAATACCCTCACAGTCATAAGAGTAGGGCTTTATGTTTTAATATTTCTACAAGCGTTACATATTCTATATCAGGAACGTCTAGTTTACTACTTATCCGATTATACTTACGGTTTCTGTTTTCACTTTTACAAAATAGTTCCCCCCTACTTATTTATTTATATTTTGTCATTAAAAATTAGCTATCGAACGTAATGTGCTTTAATTATTTTTTTATTAAAATAATGGTCACAAACGAGCACACACCTGATGGTACGTGGATGCTGTGGCCCATAGACATCTACATTTAACCTCTATTAAGAATCAAAATCCAGATGCGTTGTCATCCGTGAAGACTAAGATGGAATGCCTCGATTCCAGTAAAACGGGTCTCCGGTTCTCTATACTCACCATATGAAATACAGCAGTATTAAGCTGCTATTTTACGCGGGTATTCTCGAGAGCGTGGCCCTTCCCCGGTCGAGCCGACCCATTCGTACTACAACTATAATTTAGCTGCAGCGTGGCTCTACCACGTATAAAAATTGTGCGTTTGATTAGCTATTGTAAAAATGTGAATTTTGCTGTAGAGGTCTTAGAATTTTCGTTTATGAAATAAAAATTCAACATCTTAAATATTTTATTCGGTGTAGTTATTGCTTTCAAGGCATTTTGCTGCCAATCATGCAAATATCCAGACAATGGGTACAGCTCTACTAATAGGTATGCTACGAATTTACCTACTTATCGTTAACAATAAGTATGATGTTTTATTAAATGCAGAGCCGTGGTAGCTCAGATGGTTAACGCTCGCTGTAAATATAACAGAACGCGAGTAACCCGGGTTCGATCCCCGCCGGCACCAATAAAATTGTTAATTGCGATTTTAAGTGCTGATTTACCACGTGCTCGGCGGTGAAGGAAAACATCGTGAGGAAACCTGCATGTCTGAGGAATAAGAAAAAAAATATTTTGAAGACGTGAAGTTCGCCAACACGTATTGGGGCAGCGCGGCGGACACTTCCTTGCCCTAAAACCCTCTCAGAAATGAGGGGAGGCCTGTGCCCAGCTGTGGGACGTATATAGGCTGTAACTTTACTTTACTTTTTATTAAATGCTGCAATTAGAGTTGGCAGATGGTCGAGATTCCTCTGGATTTTCACGACATTTCAAATGATCCCCAGACTCCCGAAAAAACTGAAAATCTCCAGACAAACAGCTTCTCGGAAAGATAACGTGTGGCCTTTGATTTAATAAAAGCTGAGTTAGTAATTAGACTGAACTTTGAATTAAATTCCTTGAACTTTAAATATTTTCTATATACTACTAAAGGATCTAAATTGGTGGACTCTAGTAAAGTCCAATGCCAAATACATGTGGCAATCTAAAAATTAAGTGAACTTGTATGTTTTGATTAAAAGTACTTTTTATGGCCTCTTAAATACAAAAATATTTTTTTTATTTGTAATAATAATTATTTCTCCCGACAACAACCCTAAAATCCCGACATTTTCAAAATTTGTACAGATATTTTCGTCTTCTGATCTGGCAAACCTAGCTGCAATCTACTTGTTTCTAGTTCAAAAACTATCTACTACTAAAAATGGACCGAGACAGTGAACGTTCACGGCGACAATTTAAGCAATAGATTTTTGACGAATCTGTAGTGTTCTACCGCCAAGTGACTTGAGTACTTGACTGACTGGTCCAGGATTTGAATCCACCTGAGATCATTTTTCTGCAGTAACAAATTGTTGGATTTCGAATCTGCAGTGTCATTATGTAACAACAACTGGTGGTGTGAGAATCATTTCGCCGCTGCATTATGTTTTTTTCATTACGAAATTACTTTAAAAAAATAATATTATTAATAATATAAAAAACATATTGCTGTATATTGATATTGATGTATATAATTCAACGAAACCAAAATTGTTAACCTCAAAATGAAGCAACCACTATTTCCACCAGAGTTACTACTGGTAACACAATCACACTATCGTAGGGTAATTAGAACTTTACGAGTATAATTACGCGCCTACGCCCACACCAATGTTAGTAATCTTTGGCATACGCAGTTGATAAAATTCTCTTGTAAGATGCCATGATGCAGCTATATTAATTGTATAGTTGTAGCACGAATGGGTCGGCTCGACCGGGGAAGGACCACGCTCTCACAGAATACCAGCGTCAAATAGCAGCTTAATACTGCTGTTTTGCATATGGTGAGTGTAGAGAACCGGAGACCCTTTTTGCTGGAAAAGAGGCATTCCATCTTAGTCCTCAAGGCTGACAACGCATCTCCATTTTGATTCGCAAACGAGGATAGATGTAGATGTCTATGGGCCACAGCAACCACTTACCATCAGGTGGACTGTGTGCTCGCTTGTCACCCTTTTCCTATATAAAAAAAATATAAATGTCAATGCGATATAATACATCCTACTAAGCCGACTGCTGAACTTAAGCCACCTCCCTCCATAGATTGCTTGGAGAGATTTTCCATAGTTGCCACACTTGGCGGAGAGTTTGATACGCAGTTTTGTTTTGTTATTATCGGGAAGATGTTGCTGCCTAGCTCCTGTTTCAATTTCCCTCTGTTTACTCTTACGACACCCACGGGATTACATGAGGTAGGAAATATTCTTATGCAGTCACCACATCAGATCAAAATATGCTAGTACAATTATATACATCATAAATAATAAACGTAGCTTTTAATTTTACATTTTATTTCAAAACTTTATATCTTATTTGTTCGTAGCCACGTCAAGAGACGCCCATGCCTACTTGCCCAGCACTAAGTCCTTCACTTCCCGTGAGTTCAGTTACAGCCATTCCAGTAGTCAAAAAGCCACTCAAAACAGTGAAGAAGAAAGCGAAACTCAAAACGAAGTCCTCGAAAATGAAGTCGAGTATCAAAATCGAAAACGGCGTCGTGGACGATATTGAAGAGTAAGTTTACATTTTTTTTACTCGATTGCCTTAGAAAGACATTAATACTTGTAAAAAATTCTAGAGAAATTATAAAGTGCGGGTTTTCGTTGGTACAAACGTTAGAATACAAGGATCACGTCTGCAAATACGTTTAAGCGAAGCACCATATATTTTTGGGGAGCATAGGATTGGTATAGTTATAAAGAAATGAAGCCATTGTATCCTTATACATTTACAATAGACTGAAATTTAAAGTAATGACACCTAACACTTCAAAATCCGTAAAGCGTTTAAGGATAGTAGGTCACAGGAAATATAAAAATTTTGCTACATATACAAATACACCAGATAATTATAACTCACATTCCGTGAAAGAAAAATATGAAGAAAATCCACAAGATAATAGTTTTGTAGATTCTTGCTGTAAAACTCTAATTGAGATCGTTAAACCGACGAAGAAATATGTTACGTGCGACGGTACATTAGCAAAGTTTTGTGTCTTGCGTGGCGGCAGGTAATAAATAATGAATAATATTGGTTAGTTAGCGAATAAAAATAAACTGTAATTTTATTTAATCTGTGCCAGCCCAATACTTTTGTGTCTGTACCAAATAGCTTCTCTAGTAGAATTGTTCATTACAATTATTTTATACACAAATAGTAATTCTTTTATATTGTTAGATATTTTAATTCGACGATATTTAATGTAACAAATTAATTTACAGTCTATCTAAGAGAAGCGGTTTGTCATCTGGGGCTTTATCGCATCTTATTACCAGGATGGATTGCGGTGAAGCACTGGCTATGTATATTATAATAAGTAAAAAACATAAATATATAACTCGTACGAATTAACTTGAGACCTGGGCCGATGACGTAATTGTCAATGTACGGTGTGCAAAATAATGCGTCGTAATATTTTTTTATTTGAATTTTTTGAAATTTGCATGAGATTATTAATAAAAACAAAATAAAATGTTCTGGCAAGGGGTGAAGTAATAAGTGATATACTGTTGCCATTTTTATATATTTTAAATATTTATTTTTTATAATATATATAATATTATTTTTAGTTAACGCGTCAAGGAAGGACAAAGAAATAAACATACACTCTTTCTCATTTATAATATTATTAACTTTATTGCACTATAAAAAGTGTTACAGATTCGTACACAATAAAAATACAAAGCATAACAGGCGACCTTATTGCTAAAGAGCAATCTCTCCCAGGCAACCTTAGGGTGAAAGTGATCATCAATCTTGGATAAGCGGAACAGCACAAACTATGTAAAATCAAGGAATAGAAGTAAGGAATATTAATAAGGATTTATTATAATATTTATTATTCATTGTCACTGTATACGATCGGTTCTATTCCGTCCATTAGATCGTCCTCACTTTCACTCTCTGAGCTGGATTCTTCCCCTCCGAGGGATATATTTAATTCTCTCTGTTGGATTTCTCCAAGTCTATCACTCTCCCAGTATTCATTTTCTAATCTTTCGATGTGGTTAATTTCTTTCTTCCTATCGGAAGCCGTTATAGACTGTATTGCGTCTCTTGTCAAACCCTCTATTTCCCTTTCAAACTGGTTAACATTTTTAGCTGCCACCCTTTGTTTTATTAAGTTCCATATATATTCGATAGGGTTCAAATCACAATGGTAGGGTGGCAGCCGTAATACCTCGTGTCCATGCTCCCTCATGAGTTCGTCCACTATATATTTTTTCGGTGGTTTATTGAGCAGTATTATATGGTACAGTTCCGGTTTCGTCATTTTTTCATCAAAAGGAATGTTGTTTTTTCCGAAGCCAACTCTGCATCTCACCTTTCAGGGACGGGCTCACGGGTGGTTTTTCAGACTGCGTTGAGTGGTAGTCAGCATTGTCTAAAACGACGAGACTGTTTTGAGGTAAGTTTGGGATTAGTTTTTCTGTCAACCACTTTTTAAAGTTTTTACTATCCATTTCGTGATGGTAGTCCCCGGCATTACTTTTGCATTTGTAAAGCAATTCGGCACCAGGGATAAAGCCGTTTTCACCGCTAGCGTGCACCAATATCCACCGCTGTCCTGGATTATCATTTTTTCTAATGCTTGCGTCATTGTTATTTTGCCAGCATTTGCGCACGGTATAGTGGGAGTGAATCCATGTTTCGTCTAAATAAGTTACGGGTTTTTTGTCCACCCCAAGTTCATTGTTTTCTTTCTTCCTTCGTAAATAACGGGCTCTCCAGGCAGCAATGTCTGGCTTTTGTATTAAGACTTGTCTTTTCTTACATTTTTTAAATTTGTACCCCAAGTAGTCAACGAGTATTCGTTGTAACTTGGTTTTTCCGTAATTTCACCTGTAAAATAAAGATATTATTTTTAATTTTTAGTTATCGCGTGGTATTTTTTTCAAAAAATAATTTAAAATTAAATATCTCAGAAATGGTTCACTTTTGCATATGGGTGTCCATACATAAAATTGTTGCAAATTACCAGTTCTAGCACCCCTAACAAGATTATGCTTGAATTAAATGTCACCTTGTATATGATATGACCTAAAGTATGATATATAATACATATAAAAAATGTCAATAAATATGGGTACGTACCTGGAAAATTTAGATCTGCTTTTGCAGCCGTTAAAATCTTTTTTCAATGTTGGAATTTCTTTCCGTACTGTATAGAAACTGTTGACAAGGTTTCTTAGAGCACACAGATCAAAATTGTCGAGTTCAATTTTTTTTGAGCTCTGTTTCCTTTTTTTTTCCTGGAGTTGATAGTTTAAGTTCTGGTCTTGCTTGAGAAGTACATGGTTCCGATACTACGTGACATCATAATTTTGGTCTTGAGAAATTGACTGAACTTTTTTCGCCTCGTTTTTCATTTTTAGTAGTGTTGCCTTTGATATGCCTGTTGCTGCACAAGCCCTCTTTAAAGCTTGGTCCACAGGAATAAAAAAATTTTTATTTGATTTTTCATCTTCGAAAAATTTTAAAACTTTTAGAGCAAGTGTCCGTGCTTGGCTATGTATTGTCTTCCCTCCCATCTTTTTTTTAAAAATAAAAAAAGGCGGAGTAACTCCTAAGCGTCACAAGAAAACGGCACAACACGACGTCCAAACTTAACAATAAAACAACGCAATTAACAACAAACAGATAAAATAACGTTCAAGTATAACAAAAACAAACAAAAGTCCAAACCAAACAACAAACAATTATCAAAAATATCGAACTAGAGTCGAGACGCGTATCCTTAACAAAAATGCTATCGGTACTGAGCGCGCACGGCCAGCGCGGGACGCGGTGCGGGGAGTCGTGAAGGGGGTCGCATTCCAGCGGAGTCTCAAGTTAATTCGTACGTGTTGTACGTGTCCACTGCTGGGCATCTTAGGCCTCTTCTCATTTCCGAGAGAGCTAGGAGCTATCAGCTAGTCGGCCGCGCTGGTCAAATGTATGGCTGACTTCACTATCCTCATAATATTTAATTCATATCCTCATGATGTTTTTCCTTCGCCGTCTTGAAAGTGGTAAAATGTGATGCTTGTTCTGCACGCCCATTTAATGCAGCTAAATTATTTCACGGCAAAAAGTTAATTTTCACAAAATTTTATCTCCCTCTCGATAGTTTTTTTTAAATAGTTGAAGAGACCACACGCAATTTTTTTTTACTCAAATTTTGAACTTGGTATCAATTTTCTTCTGAGGTTCCATCTTACTCATCATCATTATATTCTCATTCTTATTCACATCCTCAAAATATATTTTTAATACTCCCTCATCCCCATTCTCTTCCTCATCACTCTAATTCGAAGTAAGTTTAAAATGCTTGTCTAGGAAGTGGTTCACAACAGTAACCGGTATGGTTTGAACTTACTATTTTCTTAAATTGGCGACCCGTGGCGTTTATGATTACTGACGTATTGAGAGAAACCCACGAGAATACAATGTTAATTTCAATTTTATATAAATGTTAACATAATTTTATTTTTAGTGCAACCAGTAGATCTCCATCACCGGACATCATGACGGATGGAGATTGGCCAATGGAAACCGACACAGTGATCTCTGAAATAGAGACGTTGGACAAACCCCTGCCAGCGACCATCACTAGAAAAGAAGAGACCTTAGAACATAACCTAGTTGCCAACTTATCCAATAAACTTAACGGCACAGTTGTGTCGCCTAAGAATAATGGTAATATATATATATGTATTATTAATTTATATTAATGTCCACTTACATTCTAAAATTAATATGAATATGGAAAATAATGAAGTAAAAGAAAACAAATTTTGTATTATTGATGTGAGGACTATTGAAAATAGTTTTTCGGATTTTGTTGTCGTAGTTTTTTTTTATATCTTTACCACACAGAAATGTATCTGTACAAAATTTAATCTATGAATAATTTAAGCCAAGTATGTTTCTTTATAAATTGGGGATGTAATTAGTGTACCTTATAGGTGTGCTAATTATATTTAAATGTAGTATTTGATTAAGTCTTGTCATGTGGTAGTAGTGTGAGAAAGGGACACCCCGTTTCGCCTCGTAGATGGTGGGTAAGGTACTACTAAGGGAAATTTTAGAAAAATCTCTTAACCTCTAATTTATGGTGATATTAACAAACATGCATATAAAAAATAAAGGAACTGAGTATATAGCTATCCCAAATTTTTTTAATTTCTCAAAGTGTTTTCTGGTGAAGTTCATCAGCTCCGCGCAAGAGGTATCAGCACTTAAAATTGTCTTGGCTTGTTCATGTTTTATAAAATTTTAAAACACTCCGATAGACAATGAGGAGCATCGTCAAAGTTGCGAAATGTCATCGTTAATCTACCTGCTAAACATGTTGGTTATGGCAAAATCTCCCTACAACGGGAGAGACCTGTGTGCAGTAGTCTACGATCATGGACTAAAAAAAGGAAGGGACTATTTGTAACATTGCAACTTATTGCTTTACAGACACAAATAGCAAGGAACATCAGCAGTTCTTGACTGCGTTACATACTATCAATCCGTTTAAAACACTGACGTCACGCAAAGGTTACAACTTGCCAAAAAAGATTTTTTTAAATTTGTCTTCCAAGTAGAGTTCATTTAGTTTTCGATGTTGAATTACTATTTCATATAGACTGATATTTGAGTATCCATACAAAGAATATATAGATTTTTTGACATAGTAAACTTATCATTTTATATTCTTACGAAAATCAAACTTGTTTCATTACTATATTAATCATCTTTCATTTTTCGTTCAAAAAACTATTCTGTATATAGCTATAAAATTCTATACTGTTAAAATATTAGATAGTGTATATTCCCAGCTTGCATTGTATACTTCTCTTAATTTTAAATTGGGCATTATAAACTTAGCTAGCAATTTATCAAAGTATTTTGTAGTAATGACAAAAAGTCATTTGCTAGAAAAACATATGTATTGAAATTACTAAACTTAAAAAGTAGTAAACTGATAATACCTGTAAGTGAAATCAAATGTATGTCAAGTTCAATTAAAAACTGTTTGAGCACGATTGAATGACAATCATCCAAGCAGACATATTTACATTTATAATAATATATATAAGATATATAATATATAAGATACATAATAAATTATCCAAAATTGTAGATATTAGAACCATTAAATTGTGAGTAGATTATAGGTTAATTTTTTCTCAATCTTTTTAGAGCTTTGAGTAGAAAAAAAATGATAGAAAAGGATACATTAACAAGGAGAAACATTAGAAAGTTAATATATTATTATATTATATGTTCAATAAATTTGCAGATTTTTTTAATTTGTTTATAGAAATATATTGTAAATTTATCAAGTGCAATCATTGGAATTTACAATCAACATTTTAAAAATATTACTTCCTTTTAACACAAATATGTAAATTACAAAGCACTGATCTGAAGAAATATAAACTTAAAACATTTTTATTAAAACACTTAATTAAGCAAAGTTAGTTAGGTTAAAAATTAAAAATATAACCCTTATGAATGAGTTTAACAAGTTTATTTCTCTTTCTGATCTAAATACATAATTGAATTCTAAGAACCACAATTGCAAGTCATAGAATCTAATGTCACATAAACCATTTATAAAAGACTTTTGTATTGATTACAGATTCACAACTTGCCTTGCCAGAATCAATACAAAATTGCCTCCGGCCATCCCTCTTCCCCCGTGTTCCTCCATACCTAAAGTTCATGGGGCATGAAGAAACAACTCCCCTTAAAATACCAGCACCTATACAAAAACATCTAAAATGGAAATTGACGACGATAACACCTATTGTTGTAAAGAAGACCCTCACTAATTCTGGATTTAGATTAGTAAAAAGTGACTGTGATACATCGGAGTGTCCACAAGAAGGTGAGTTAATAACAAGGTGTGGAGCCTGTGACTTCAGAGGCTTTTAATTCAGAAGTTTTGTAACTCTAGGTCATTTACAGATATGACGTTATTTTGTTCGTTTTTGACCATGGAGGTTAAAGAACAGGAGAATGATCGCCGTAGAAAATAGTGTCCCAGAAATACGGACACCATAAGTGAGGCGCTGCAATCGCTAAGTTCACTCAATTAAAGTCATTTTCAGTCTGTTTTTCCTATCAGATGCTAAACCACTTGCATATCCTTGCACAATAAAATATTTCTCCATTTTTTAATGTTTCTTTTTGTCAAAAATTTAAAAATTACAGGGCATGAAAATTTTCTCACCAATGCCGCGAAAAAATTTGTACATTATTCAAATAACTTCACCTACTTGTACTCATAAACAGCTGACTTCGCAGCCATTACTCACCGACGGCAGCGCCGCTATCAATTCTACAAATTTTCAAGGGCAGGCGGGCTATGCTTTAGTACGTATTGATCATTCTCCTGTTCTCTAACCTCCATGATTTTGACTATAATGGAAACTTACAAATACTACTCATATTCATTACTGTCATAAAAAGTGTAATGTATACATAAACACAGGTATTCTCACCTTTACATTTAATTCTCTTAAGACAGTTAAGATCTTAGACAAGGTCAAAGGTTAGACTTGGATGCAGCAAAATTTGTTAAGATTGAGCAGGAAAGCAGAACTTGGTTCAAGTCAGCATATTTGCTTGGATGAAGAAGACTTGAAGATTGTAGCACAATATTCAAGTCTACAAATTGTGCACACATTGTCCACCTAAAGAAATCACTTCTAACATTTTTGTTATTTTTTTAACTAAATTTTTGTTATCATTAATACTACAACCCTTCACAAGTCTATTGAATAATATTGTCGCCCCCAAAGGAATACCACAAAAAATTAAATTAGCAATATACATAGAAATTTAATTACATTTTTATATTATTACAGAGACAGTGGACTGGATTGGTATATGGGGTAAACACATGAAATCACTTATGTTCAGAGCCATAAAAGATGGACAGAAAATGAACCATTTTCCAGGCACATTTCAAATAGGAAGAAAGGATCGGTTGTGGAGGAACCTTCAAAAATTGGTTGCAAAACATGGAGTCAGCGAGTTTGGTATCATGCCCAAGACATATGTGTTGCCTCATGACTTGAAGATATTGAAACATGATTGGCAGAAATATGCGGCCAATAATGAGAGATGGATAATCAAGCCAGTAAGTGATTGAATCAGGTCTCGTTGCTATTGTCTTACAAATAGTGATACAAATTAATACATACCAACAATACGAAATATGAATATGAATGTTTGCATGAAATGGCACCTTAATGCTGCTGTATTGCTGAAGCTGGCAACTTTCTTTTTACTGGAAACAAGACATTCAATTTTATTTTAGTATATTTTTAGCAGTTTAATATATTTAGTATATTTTCAAACTATGTGTACAATAGGTGGTGAATTAACCATTGAAAAATCACTACTTTTTCATTTGTCACTTCAATATTTAAGGGGAAATATAACCTCAAATGGCTTAGCAAGATCCTCCGTTATGCCGAAAATATTGCAGCATTAATTTTGAAATAAATATATGGTAATGTTAAGGACTATGTTAGACGAAAACACGATTCCGTAAAATTTTCTCGATAGAAAAAAATTCAAAGTTGCCTCCAAAATAAACAATAAACCGCTGTTATTCATAAAATACTTAAAATAAGATCATGAAACTTTGCATACTAACTGAAATAACTATAAAGCAGTGCTTATGTTATTTACTTTTTTAAAATACCATTATTTTCACTGTAAAAAGAAATTACCTAAACTATCGGCATCTTGAAGCTTGATTCCTGCCGCCCGGTCAGTTTCGCTTCGGCCTTTGAAGGGGGAAGTTGTGTCGCTTACGATCAGAATACACATTACGCAACAGGACGAGGTAAAATTAAAATGGTAAATAACCTTAATAAAAATAAGAAGCGACTGGGTTGGCGTTAAGAAACAGGCATAAATATGATAAACCTAATGAAATCAGTATCTAACGACCTATCTACTTACAGTACTAGTGATTACAAACATGGTACAAGCATACGACGCGCGGGGGGGGGGGAATTGGGAGCGAAATTAGAATTTGAGCTGACTTACTATATCCCCTTAATATCAATTGTAATCAGAAAATGAAGGTCATTGACATTGACACTGGTAATGCTAGTAATTAAACACTTGTTAATGATGTTTCACTAAACGGAATTAAATGAGATTATTTCAAATTGAAAAAAAAAATGCGGTCGTTAAGGAGTATGTTAGGCCTGAATCTGAATGACGGGTAGAATTGTGTGAAAAAAGAAGAGTGTGGTTTGCAAGATGATGTGTGACCAGAATTAAGAAAGGAATGCTTCGGTGGTTGGGTCATGTGGTAAGAATGAATGAGGAAAGAGTGACAAAAAAAAATTATGTTGCAGAAGTGAATGGCAGAGTCGGAAGGGATCCCCTAGGCGAAAATTTATCGACCAAATTGGCGATTTATTGAAAAAGGGCCAAATTAGGAGTACCCTTAACCGACGAGCATGTATGCATAGGTATATGGATGTGAAGGAGGCGAGAGAGGTGTGTCAGGATAGTGCCAAATGGAAGTCTGTAGTCTCTGCCTACCCCTCTGGGTGACAGGCGTGAGTGGTTATGTATGTATTATGTATGTCTTTCAAATTAAATTAATATTGTTGTGTAGTGGCGCCATAAGAGAATCAGCTACTCCATGTTATCTCGTGGATGTTGTAAAAGGCAACAGAGGAAAATGAAACAGACAAACAAATCTTGTGTTGTCAAATATAATTAAATTAAAATTGATTCCGAACATAATATATGGTAGAGCCACGCTGCAGCTATATTGTGGTTGTAGCACGAATGGGTCGGCTCGACCGGGGTAGTACCACCTTCTCACTGTATACCAGCGGAAAATAACAGCTTAACGCTGCTGTGTTTCGTATGGTGAGTGTAGAGAACTGGAGACCCTTTTTACTGGAAACGAAGCATTCTATCTCAGTCCTCAGGACTGGCAACGCATCTGCATTTTGATTTTTAATTAAAGAATAATGTAGATGTCTATTGGCCACAGTATCCACTTAACATCAGGTGGACTGTGTGCTATTTGTCACCTTTATACTATAAAAAAAATGTTAAAAACATGTTTCTAGTAGGTAAATCATTATTTGTTGTTATAGCGACAACAGAAATACACATTCTGTGCAAACTTCAATTGTCTACCTATTGCGGATCATGAGATACAGCCCGAGGATTGATGGACGAACAGACATTTTAGGCTTAGTAATAGGGTCCCGTTGGTTACCCTTTGGGTATAGAACTGTAAAAACCAAATTCTCGGCATGCCAAAAGTTTGCATGTTTGATAGATCAAGTGAAAAATCACTGTAGTGAGATGTCGGTATGACCACGATTAAACAAATGTCATATCATTGTCACATTAACCGGAGAAGAAAGGGCCTAACATAATGGATCATTATTTCATTGCAATATCTTTAACAATTCAAAGAAAATAAGTAGTGTAGTAAAATATGTGTGAAAAAGCTACGAGCAAGCTCGCAATTAATTTATTATTATTATTTCAGCCAGCGTCAGCACGCGGCACGGGAATCAAAGTAGTGTCCCGTTGGACACAGATCCCGAAAAAGCGGCCTGTGGTAGTGCAGCGATATGTGACAAAGCCTTACCTCATCAATGGCAATAAATTTGACATGCGTCTGTATGTGCTGGTCACGTCTATGCATCCATTAAGAATTTATTTATATAAGGATGGTTTGGCCAGGTTTGCTTCCGGTGAGTACGGTCTTCTGAAGTGTTCATATAATTCTGTGCCTCCTGTGATAGGTGATACAAGTGAAAAATCATCATTTTACAAGAGTGCAAAAACAAGATTTAAAAAATTCTTGTTCGTGAACTAAGTGGGCTAGGTTAAATTTGAGTTTCTTCTTTTGTAGAGTAAAATATTCTCTTTCGCTATATATTTTAGTTTTTTAGTACATTATTTAATTTTTAAAGTAAATCATGAAAACCTGTGAGTTGTACCTTTTATTATGTGCTAAAATTATGTGATAAATGATACTTGTACAGTTAAATTACGTTGCATCTATAAGTTGTCGTTGTGTAAACTGATATACACGAAGTTAAAACATATAATAACTCATCAGAATAATGATCCTAGCACAGTGTTCTTCAAACAAAAGATAAAGATATAACCGTTTAGATTTAATTTTTTTACTTATCAGTCGCCTATTTACAATATTTACCTGAATTGTATCAGAATACTAAAATCCTAGTATTTTAGAAGATGAGTTAAATGATATAAGTCGAGATATACCCATCAGCAAAAGAGATATGGATTGTGTAAATAAATACAAGTTGTAGAAAAATAATCAACGTTTATTAAACTTTTTCAAAATAAATAATTCACTCAAATTTAAGGCACAAATTTATCAAAATTCTTAAAAAAAGTAAATTGAGATCAAATAATCACGATTTAACAATATGAATGTAGCTTAACTATTCTCAATAGGAACTCATCATTTGTAAAAAAGTTAGCAAGTAATTTTAAACTTAAAATCTAAGAAATGGCACAGATCTATCTTTAGGTATCACGATAAGCAATATTAACCTACTAAGTACAATACAAAGTATCACAATCATGTCTTAATCTAAAAATCTAGGAAAATAACAAACAAACAAAATTTTTCAACACTTCAAATTTTAACAGGTGTTCCATAGAGGTAGATAATAAATTGCACTCTGAGATGGATAACTCGTCTTAAATGATTATAATGTTAACTAAAAAAATACTTATACTCAAATCAGAATTGAACCTTTTTAAATTATTATAATATGCCCACCTGTATGTAGACTAACGTTAACAAAGCAATAAAAAAATAACAAAGTCTTTCGATCTATAAGTTATAATATGAACCGGAACCTATTCACCATCTGAATCATCGTCATTATCCGCTGGACTGTCTTTGACATCATTTTTGCAGCTCAGACTTCTGTAAAACTCATGAGCGCTCTCATGAATAAAACATAACAAATTTAATAGATCTTTCTTCTTATCGGTTGAAATAGGAAGTTTAGAGTGGTAAGCTTTCGGTACCATATTAATCGTAAATATATTATCATAAGTTTTCCCCCGTTTAGAACAGTCCATGGTCAAGTACTCAACATCTTTGAACTCTTTTTTGTAAGAAAAACAGGATATGTTTTCTTTGTTATAAAGAACAGATCTAACGTTCAACCACAAAAACTTTTCATTGGCTGTATTCGTTTTCCTAAAAGTAAAAGATTGCTTTACGAAAATGTTAAAATCATAAAACATTTCATGAGTCATTTCGATAACAGTAAACTTGGCTGTTTTGTTTGAAGCTGTACGCACTAGTTGGTACCAATCTCTTGGCAAGTGTATATCCATATTCGTGATCTTCTTTTTACGCTCAATCAATGCATGGTCGGTGTCAGCCTCCATGTGTGTATGGCCAGGTACGAGAAATTTATGTTCAATAAATTGTAATTGTGGGGATAGTCTAGTAACTAGCATTAACATTGTTGTTACAATCGAATTCTTGTTTTGGCCAGAACAAGAGTCCGAGAACATGATCAGCTTCTTAGCGTTTGGGTGTAAGTTTGGTAGTTGATTTATGATAAAATCATATAAACACGAAGCAATGTCATTAGCCCCTCTATTACCCTCACACTCCGGCCACATGTAACAGAAAGTCTTGTTTGTTTTCAAAGCATATATGGTCAAATTAAATGTCCATAATTGTCGCTTATAAAATGCAACATTCGTTTGCAAGTATGGAGTCGGCAAGCATTGTTGCAAATCAAATGTTATGACAGCTACAACTTCGCTCGATTGAGCCAGTTGTTTATCTGCCTTTTTCTCTTCGTAAGCAGCCTTAAACGCCTCTTGATGCTCCTTGAACGTCTCTATCAGATTTGCAGCCTGATCCACAGATGCATACTTGAGTTTCATATTGATGCGGTCACATTTTGAACAAGTGTCTACAGATGGCTTTTTAAAGGATAAGTTCATGGTTTCAAAGACCTTTTTAAAGATGGTTTTGCTTACTGGAGCATCAGTCTTCAGTTTGTATAAGTTATAAAGAACTTGAAGGTTGAGCTCGGAATTCAAAAACTTTTTAGTGGTTTTGTTGCGGCCGTAGTGGCTTTCTGTGCAAGGGAAACAAGCAATATGTTCTTTTATTTCCTCTAGTTTGAAATCAGGAATTGACTTACCAACTCGACGTTTACGCTGAGGAAGATGACCGCCATTGTCTCGTAGTTTCTCGCATACCGTTTGTAGATATTTGTGACTTTCATCAAAAGTCTTCAAAAAACATCCTTTGCAAATTGGATGTTTTGTATGATCAAAACCATGTACAAAGTAACGAAAGCTGACGTTGCGTTTTTTCTTTGGAGAAAGCTTCGAAGTTTTTTTTTGGCAGACTTCAATACATTTCGCAATGTATTTAGTTCTATTTTCGTAACTACCTAAACTCCAGTACTGTTTAAAAAGTTTCTCCCTCAAGTCCTGTGGTAGTCTCTGCTTGCATTTTTGACGGCAGTTTTCAAGTTCATGAAGTTGCCGACGTTTCTTTGTTTTCCCTGATGTCGTTATATATTCTAAGCCAGTATTACGAAACAATTTTCTCCTTGCTCTATCCTGTCTTCTCTCCTTGACACTTTTTCTTGTTTTTTTCTTTTTCCCGGCACTATTCATACCGTTGCGTTCCCAGAAAGAGCAACCAGGAACAGGGTTCTCTGATGTGCTCATGGGCGACGGGGGTGTTTCTGGAACTGTAATATTGGAGGTATGTCTCACCGACGACGTAGTCGTTCTTTTCTTTTTAGCTGAAGTTCTTTCATTATCACTGGATGACGACGATTCATCAGTAGCGCAAATATAATCATCACTGCTAGATGATCCAAAATCACCATCGTCTGATGAATCGGAAATTCTCAAGTCATCTAGTAGGTATTTTGAAGAATTCTCTTGTGTCGTGTTCCTCTTATTATTGTCACAAACCGTTTCCGCAGCAATTGGAAGGTCCCGCGACTCTTCAACTGGTTTTCTTACTTCTTGCGTCCCTATTAATATGTTGCCTTCTTCCTGGATATCACTAGTTTTTTCTTTGTCAATAACCGTTTCTGCAACTATTGGATCCTGATGACGCGACCCTTCAACTGTTTTTCTTGTTTCTTGCTCCTCGCTTGATTCGTAGCCATATCCCTGAGTATTACAATATTTTTCTTCAATTTCGGCTTCAGAGGCCAACTCCATTATTTTATCAATTCGAGATTTTAACTGAAACGAACATTATTCTATTTAGCATTAAATACATTAAAGTTTTGAAAACCACAGCACGAAAACAACACTTGTCTCTAAAAAGACTTTAAATAATAAATCAAAGGTTAATTAAAAAAACAGGAAATGACTTTGAATACCTAGTTAAAACAAAATAATAGGGACAAAATTGCAAAAGAAAAGATCAAGCAACTTAATTACTATGACTATACGAAAACATTACGTTATTTTGTGTCAGGTGATTTAATTCAATATCAAAACAAAAAATCCAATATTATGGAATTTCGTGTAAAATGATACGTCTATCAACTTACGCGTCGATCCATGGCGCATTCGGACGTGACCTCACTCCATCAATGCCGCAGCGACACTGCGGGCGGAAAGCACGAGCAAAACTCAAAATACGGCTCCAAGTCCCGCGCATCCCCGATCACGCGGCGCTTCACCTCCGCGCACCCACACTACCTACACTCGTATCATTTAGCACATAATAGTTCTACATAAATATTTTTAGAATTGGTTTGACTTTTAAATACAATTACATTTATATCTGTTTACACATAAAAACAGATTTGTGTAGAAAGATTTATCTCACGATGTATCACTTTTCACAAAAAAATTCATAAATTCACATTGGAATCGGTAGGTATATGTCCATTTGTACCCTAGGCATATCGAAAAGAATCGGTTCAAAAGGATATGACTCTAGGCACATCAATATTCACGATAATTGTACTGAAAAATAAAATGTGAAATTGAATACAATCACATTTAAATCATGAAGTACGAAAAATAGTGCATTGAGTGATTACTTATGGAGGTTACATCTTGACAAATATCGATATTCACGAATTTTTTGCCAAATTCTGGACAGTTATATCAATTTGCACAAAATTATCTCTGAAACTATAGCAGATAGAAAAACGTGAGTTAGACCAAAAAAATCGTAACTATTTTCTGATAATGCCCATGTTAAAATCACAAAAAAGGGTACAACTCAACTTAAATCACTCATCACAGGAGGCACAGAATTAAAACCATCCAGATTGTTCTTTTAGACTCAAGAAAACTAAGTTTGATTTTTGATACCTAATGCTATACTACCTTAGTTCATTCTAAGTGTAATGTGGTAGAGTTAAGCTGCAGCTGTATATAGTTGCAGCGCGAATTGGTCAGTTCAACCGATTTTTGACCACACTCTCATAGAATACCAGTGTAAAACAACAATAATTCTGCTGCATTTTATGGTGAGTGTAGAACACCGAAGAGCCTTTTTATTGGCAACAAGACATTTGCTCCTAGTCCTCAGACGATAGATGGAAATGTCTATGGGCCATAGCATTCACTTATCAGCAGCTGTACTGTGTACTCATTTGCTACTCATATTCTATAAAAAATACTGCAATTTTATGTGCTTATTATTTATTATTTTTGTAACAAGTAGGAGTGTTAAGTAAAGTTACAGCCTATGTACGTCCCACTGCTGAGCACAGGCCTCCCCTCATTTCGGGGAGGGTTTTAGGGCAAGGAAGTGTCCGCCGGGCTGCCCCAATGCGTGTAGGCGAACATCACATGTCTTCGAAATATTTTTTTTTCTTATTCCTCAGACATGCAGGTTTCCTCACGATGTGACGTGGTAAATCAGTAGTTAAAATAGCAATTAACATTTTCATTGGTGCCTGCGGGGATCGAAACCGGGTTACTAGCGTTCTGTTATATTTGCAGTGAGCGTTAACCATCTGAGCTACCACGGCTCTTAGGAGTAGGGGCTATTAGGAGTCTTCTCAGTAGGAGTGTTAGTAACAATTAATTTTTTTTACGAAAATTTTAAAAGCGCTGCCCGGCGGTACAGATTAATATTTATGGGAAAATTTGCGTGTCCGTGAAATTTAATAAAAATAATTCCAAGATTTTTTATTACATTAATGAAGTCCAAAAGTAAATAGTAGGAACTTGCATTATGATATTATAATAATAATAATAATAAGAAACAAACTGCACACTTCGCGCTCACCATGCATAATCGCGAAGTGTGCAGCCTCCGTCATTACTTCCTGGCGAGATCGGATGATCCATTCTATAATGACGTCATTTCTAGTGATAAAGGACTTCCCTCTATCCTTAGCCAACGAGCAATGGCAAGACCCGGCAGTACAGAGCATTTCCGACCGGGAGACCGTATGGAAGGAGAAGGAGCTCCACGGGAGGTACTACAGGGCTCTACATGAGTCATACGTAGATACAGCCGCCTCCCTCAACTGGCTACGTTTCGGTGACCTCTTCGGGGAAAACGAGGGTTTTGTCTGTGCAATACAGGATCAGGTTATTAAGACCAACAACTATCGAAGATACATCCTAAAGGATGGCACCGTCGACGTCTGTCGAGCTTGTCGCAATCCCGGTGAGTCGCTTAGGCATGTCATCTCCGGTTGTTCGGCGCTTTCTAACTCTGAGTACTTGCACAGGCACAACCTAGTAGCCAGAATTCTACACCAGGAGCTCGCTCTGAAATACGGTCTCATGGACCGAAAAGTTGCCGTATTACAAGTACTTGCCGGAAGCCGTGCTCGAAAATGACCGCGCCAGGCTCTACTGGGACCGGGCCATCATCACAGACGGGACTATTCTTGCGAATAAGCCTGATATTGTGGTGATGTACCGGGCACAGTCAAGGATATTTTTGATCGACATTACCATTCCGTATGACGAGAACCTCGTGAAAGCCGAAACAGAGAAACGAACAAAATATCTGGACCTGGCTCACGAGGTGACCGATATGTGGGGTGGTCTGCCGACCGAAATTATTCCTGTAGTCGTCTCTGCGAATGGGCTAATCCCAGTCAGCCTCTCGGGTCATCTGAGGCGACTGGGACTCCGTGACGGACCGCTCCGGGCTCAAATGCAGAAGGCGGTGCTCCTCGATACCGCCCGCATCGTCCGCCGGTTTCTTTCCCTTTCCCCCTAACCCTCGGCCGTTTGGTCTTCCCTGCCGAGGGCTCCCATCTGGTTGGATCTTATTTATTTATGTAGTTTTTGTATTTATTTTATTTTATTGATATTTATGTATATTTATCTTTTCATTTTAATTTATAATTATATATTTATAGAACCCAACCAGGTGAGCAAATTATATAGATACCCCAATAATAATAATAACTCTTTTATTTCAGACATAGACCCATATAAGTTGTTAGTTAGTTAGTAGTTAAACACTAATGTTAGTTTCTTAAATATGAGTAGTCACTTTTCAACAAATCGTTCCAATAATCTAGCATATGCCCGTCACATCTTTCGGCAAACACGTTCATTATACTGTTGCGGCTGCCACGTATTCTGCTCAACAGCGAGTACACTCTTACGCATTATTGCGAAGAAGTCATCTGTTCGTGTTTCTGCAAACATCCCTGATGCGCTACAAAATCGAGGCAGCCCCAACAGGGCCCTGAAAATGTTATTATATAAAACACGAAGGTCACTGTAAGCGCGCTTTGTATACGTTGTCCATAAGCTGCATGCGTAAAAAGATTGACAATAGGTTTTGAAGAGCGTAATCTTAACTTCCTTGCTGCATCGCGCAAACCTACGAATCAACATATTTCCACGGATCGACAGTGCCCTTCGCTCCCTCTCGATGTCCATATCATCTTTACAATTTTCAGTTATGTAGTAGCCTAGATATTTAAACTCTTTTACTCTTGCTAGGGCAGTGCCATTAAGCATTATGTAACTTCTGTAACTTCTTCTGTACATAGGACTTTATCATAGCCTGTATTATTATACTATATCTGTTTTGTTTCATCTGGACTTAAAATTAATTAGTCTGGATAATATTATCAATAAAATGGACTATAATTTAATTATTTTTGTTTTCTATCCCAAAATTATCGTTACTGCAAAAAATAATAGGATTCATTTTTTATTAAAGTTGATGGTGAAGAAGAAATCATAATTTTGTGTCCTTATTTTGCAGTTAAATACAATGACGAGCTAGCGTCGTTGAACGATAGGTATATGCATTTAACAAACTACTCCATCAATAGACTCTCGAAAAACTATACGCCAAACGAGGACTTTGCGTCTTGCGAAGGGCATAAATGGTAAGGGCTATAAATGCTGCATTTATTTTTCAGTCAATAATTAAAGTAATAAGTGAGCAGTAATGAGTTATTATAATAAGGAACTCCTTTTATTCTATTACTTGATAACTATAAACCACTTCTGAAATTATCATCATGATTATCATCATAAGTATGGCCCAGCACACGTCCACTGTTGGGCATGGGACTTCTCTATCAGTTGTAAATATACATGGGGTTGAAAATATACATTGTATATATTTGTTTTTTAAAAAGAAAAATAAACAGCTAAAATCTTATTTTACTTGCTTCTTTCGTTTGCAAAAAGCTTCGATTAACAATATTAAACAAAAATATAAAGCTCCTTTTGAATTAGAAATAATTATGTTGTCTTATTATTTCAGGACTCTTAGAACACTATTCCACTACCTAAAGACTGAGCGAAGTGTAGACACGGATGTACTTTGGGACTCCCTTAAGGACTTAGTAATAAAGACAATAATATCAGGCGAGGCAAGCATTAGTTCCCTTACCAAAGCCAATATTACATCACGTTACAATTGCTACGAGTTGTTTGGAATTGATGTGTTATTAGACGAAGATTTGAAACCTTGGTTGTTAGAAGTAAGTACATCACAACTCTTGAGAGATGTATTGGAAGGATTGGAAGAATCATATAAGCTTTAATTTTAAAATAGTTTGTTTAGAAGTATTTTTTAAGGTTGGTTGTGCTCTCGTAATTGTCATTTTAATTTGCGGAAATAATAGCTGCTCCACATTATTGCCGTGAAGCTCCGTAAACATGCGTGAACGTGAATGCGGACGGTTTTCGCGGGGTTCACGCGCATTCACGCCTGTTCCCCGATCAGAGTCGGTATTTTGTGCCGCGACAATGGGTTTGTGCCCCCTTCGCACGGCGTTCACGCGTACACATCCACATTCACGGCCCCGGCCGGTTCGATCCGTACTACAAAGGCGTAAGGACGATGTATTTCAGTCGTCCACCATCTTCTTGTTTTCCAACGCTTTCTAATATATTTCTTGTTTTGGACGTCTAAATAGTGATATGTTACCATAGCAAATAAAGTTATTTTGCAGCCTCAGCTTCTACGTTCATTTCACGGCGGGTTTCACGAACGGTTGTGAGCATCCCATAAATGTATGAAAAATATTGTACATGGAAAATAAAATAATACTATTTAAAAAAAAAATTATCACGTTTGATGTTACATATTTCTTTTTTCACATGTGCCGGGATTTTGGCGTCACGCGTTTCGTTTATCTATACGTTTCGTTTTTTGGCGGTTTTATTTTTATTTCTGTTTAATTTTTGTCTAAAGAATTTAGTGTAAGTAAATTTTGAATATTGGTACCTAATACATTTTATATTCAATAAGGATAAAACGAAAAGAGTACAATAGAAACCATATCTGCTTAATTGACTCTGAAAATCTAATTCATAAAATATTTTGAAATTCTGTTTTCAAACAGATTGCTTCTGGAGTATAAAGTAAAAATAGCCCCTCATCGTAGTTGTATCAAGAATGCAACATAAATGCATCGATCTAGATCAGAAAGGGAGCTAATTCTAATTTTATTAAAAAAAACGCGGTACTCATGTACACTACAGAAATTCTCGATATCGTAGGAGTAATATTAAAATGTAAAAGGACCCAATAATAATACAAATCGACCTTTAGGTAAAATTATGGTATTTTCGCTTAGTATTATTATAAATTTTTATAGATATACTGAGAGGCCAAAGTTAATATATTTATATCTTTAAATTTTTCTTTAAGAGACTCTCGGTTTAAGAATTGTAAATCGCTCGGCCCTTTTTTGAAAAAAATTCTGAATACATATAGAAGAAACAGTCCAAAAAGTTAAAGCCAAGTCACAAAATAAGAAGACATACACAAAATTATGCACAGTAAGCTTGCGTAATGGCGGGATATCGAAATTACGTAGTAGTTTTTTCAGCGCGGCCCTATATATGAGTTTTTTTGCCTACACAAATTTACGTTGACAAATTAAAAAAAAAAACTTGTTTTATTCATGATTCATGTAATTTAAGGAATTTTAAAAGAAAAAATTTAATTAAAAAATTAATGATTCGATTATTTAAATATTTTTATCGATTATTTGAATATTTTTGCCGATTATTCGCATAATAATGAATTTTAATCATTCAAACACTACGGTAATGCACATAGCGACATATCATTGAAATGAAAGTAAAAAAAGTTGATACTGGTTATTTTTTAATATTTTGCTTTGTTTGAAAGATTCAAATTTAAATTAGTGATAAAAACCTATACACCTTGTAATGAAATATAGATAACTTCATAATTCTTCTGATTTGCGCAAAATGTTATTTTAAATAATGTGAGTACGCTTATGCAAAGTTATTGCGGAATGATTAATGTGAAACGTCAAAAGGTATTTCTTAGATTTGGTTGACTATAGTACACTATAGTACAGCGTCACAGCAGCAGCAACAGTGGTTATTGTGCTAAACCACAAACTGGATTGGCGATATTAGTACCAGACTCTTGGTTTTCATCGCCGGTCTTAGTATTTAAGCCATCCAGCATTAATATCCAAGCTATAAAACGAAGACCATTTAGCGCCTATTAGACTCCCACAAGACAAAACTGTAGGAATAGTGGTTCCATTGGGAGAAAAAAGGCTTAGGAGAAGAGTGGTGTGTTAAATGTAAATAGCTATCAGGATTTAGTTTTACCGGGAATCTAACCTAATTTTAATATATGTTTGTAAAGTATTCATATTAAAAACTTACCAATCATGAGTTTTTAATAGCATATATATGTTTATTCATGTCATTATATTACTTAAAACTAATATTGCACAAAACAACTTATAAACTCTACTTCACCTTTGTGGATTTATTGTCCCATTATTTATATATTACACTAGATCAGTAATAAACGCGCGATAAGCTTTGTATCCTTTTTTTTCTAAAGGGAAGCAATAAAGATTTTAAAATAAAATATACTTTTTTAATATAAAAACAATTAACTACAGCTTAAAAGAACTCAGTTTTATCGCGTATTTTAAGTAAAATATCATATAGTAAGCCACACCAACCCGCCATTGCATGTTTGTGTATCTAATGTTTCTTTATCTAATCTTAGCGACGATATTGTTTTCGCAACTTGTGTAAGTGAGATAGGTATATGTTTATTTAAAATTGTTATTAGTTTCAAAGCTACGTCGTCGCGTTTGGATAGTGGTTACACTTTTTTCAACACGCGCGGTAATGTGGTTTGCTCCTCTAGTGTTGACACTCAATGAGTGGTTCCTAGTAAAATGACTTAAAGAGGGCGTTACTAATTTTCCGCTTGCCAGATGTCGCTTATCGGGGACTTAAGTGAAGTTTTTTTGTTATGTAATGTTATTATAATTCGGAAGTTGCGATTTATATAAAAGTATTGGTTTCTAGCATATAATACACACCCTTTGACTTTATGCACATTTTTAATTTTTACGTTTTGTCTATCCATTCTTTATCTAATTATTATTAAATATAACTAATATTACACAAGGAAAAATCAACTCCTTTTTTCCTAATAAGTTAACTTCATCTGCCATGAAATATGTCAATTAATTCGGCTCCGCCACCGCCCAGGTGGCAGAAAAAGTCGTGGAGGACATCCATCAAGGATCAAGGAGTGATCATTGACGTGTATATTGTTTAATTTCAGGTTAATATATCGCCGAGCTTACACAGCGCTTCGCCCCTCGATATCCACGTGAAGGGTCCGCTAGTGTCCACTGTGCTCAATATAGCACAATTTCAAGTGCCTTCTAAGACGAATCTGGACATGCTATCAAAGGAAAAACCCAATAAATTGGTAAAATGGATATTTAAGTTAAATATTTTTTTTTCAGTTCAGAAAAATGAACATAATTTAAATAATACTAGTTTTTTACGGATTTATCGCGTATATTAACTTTTATATATACGGCGTTTCGAGCACTTTACAGCACCCATGGTCACGGGGGTGACTGAGATGTTTAACGTCCAGATGTCATAGTTAACCGCGGTTACCATAGATTAAAATTATTAATTTTTGCTGTGTGGACCATGGGTGCTGTAAAATGCTCGAAACGTCGGGTATATAAAAATGTTAATATACGCGATAAAATCCGTAAAAACTGCTGTTATTTAAATGTGTAGTGTTTGCGTAAATATAAGAAATCATTAAATTAACATAAGTTAGTAGTTAATTACATATTAGAAAAATAAGTTGTGGAGAAAAAAAACGACGGGTTGCACTTCAGGAGTGCCGGCAGAAGTGAAAACTTGAATATTAACGTGCATTTTTGATATTTTGGAATGGTTAGGGAATAATTTTGCACGAATTGTTTTAATTACCAGTATAAAAGTACTATCATTTATGTGGTAGAATACAATGTTTATTTATTGCGCTATCGTACACAAACATGACAATTTATATTCCATTCGCGACAGCGCCCTGCGCCGCCTAAACGAAACAGCAGGCGCAGGCATACATTTTCGCCGCGCCGTAGAAAGAGAGGGGGATACTTCCTCTCCTACGCCGTCCGTCTTACGAATTTTCGATCAGGTCACGTGTCTGAGCGAGTTTTAACATTTTTACCATTAATAGGTGTGACGCGAGTTTAACATTTTTTACCCATTACAAAAAAAGTGTACAATGCCTCTAAAGAAGTTTTCACTTCAAAAACCTAAACAAAAACATTAAAGTGATATTAAATGTAAATTTCAGGCGGGCTTACCCTACGATAGTAGACTATACACAGTGTACCTGTCAAAAGAAGAAAGAGATAAACACATTATTTATACAAACATGGATGACCGTGACTTGGTAAGAGTTTCAACATTTTTTTTAATAAAGGTAAAAGTGGCCAATAGGTACTGAGTCCTGAGCTGATGGCAAGTGGATTAAAATACGTGGAGCATAAAAACACATCTGTCTTCGGTTTAGAATCAAAAAATGTAGATGTAATGTTATTCCTGTGATGGCGGGAGTTACTTGTTACCATTGAACCGGGTCTATGGTTTTTGACATTCACCATAACAAACACATTAGTATTATGCTGCTATTTAATGGTCCTCAACATTAAAGGAGCGTGGTTCTGTTCTGCTCGAGGTGACTTGTCTTGATGTAGCCATAATATATATCCGTGGTAGAGCCATGCTGCAGCTATATTACAGTTGTAGCGTGAATGGGTCGGGTCAAATGGAGAAGGACCACATTCTCACAGAATACAAGTGTAAAATAGCAGCTTAATGCTGCTGTGTGTCATATGGTGAGTGTAGAGATCCAGAGACCCTTTTTTACTGTAAACGAGGCATTCCATCTTAGTACTTAGGAGTGACAACACATCTGTATTTTGATTTTTAATCGAGGATAGATGTCTATAGGCCACAGCATCCACTTACCATCAGGTGGACTGTGTGCTCGTTTGTCACCTTTATTTTATAAAAATAGCTATTCTACATATTTGACTTTACTATTTTTAGTCAAATTAAAAAAAGGAGGGAGTTTTATATTGACTGTATGAACTTTTTTTGTATGTATACTGATGTCTCCGTCAATTGTGGACCGATTTTGAAGATCCTTTTTTATCAAATAAGTTATATACTTCAGAGGTAGTCCTATATAAATTTGGAGAAAAAATTCCACCCATAAGGGTGACAAAATATAGGATGAACTTTTTAATGTAATTATTTAGGCAACATTGACATTGTGTTCATTCTTAATCCACTCAAAAAGGTAAAAAAATAACTTGTAATAAAAATTAAAAGCCTTGTAAACAGTATGGCTTAGCAACAACTTCAGAATGTGAAATTTTAGCCTGACCCATTTAACTGGAATGCCTCAAGCATTCCATCTTAGTCGACATGGGGTGACAACGCATCTGCATTTTGATTCTTAATCAAAGTTAAATGTAGATGTTTGGACCTATGGACTCTGCTCGTTTGCCACCCTTATTCTATAAAAAAAATCTTTTTAGGTCTTTCAATTTATATTAAAAGTTATTTTTTATAGCGTATTTACTAACGTTTTTATGTTAAATTTGATTGGATAACTATAGAAATATCAGGCTCTGAACAAAACACGACAAAGGCATTCTCTGGTCTATGATGACAATGTTCAAATTTTGTCGGGAGACAAAAACTGTACGTGATATATTATAGCAGCTGACTGCATCATTCTTTTGTCTGATGCCCATGCAATAATACCACTTGAAAATACACTTGAAAATGTAAGTTGAGATAAAAAATTGTGGTGGGAAAAAAGTGTGTGTGGAATAGATGACTAGCCTGTCGCCTACAAAATCATAACCCCCGATATTAATCGCCTTTTACGAAACGCTAGACAAAGTTGACAAATTGTTTTATGTTGTAAGTCCCACATAATAAAACATGGGACATGGGTCCTACGAGTCCAAGACCAACTTCGGACATTAATGTATGTAATGTTATTAAATATAATGCAAAGATTCGAAACAATACAATTTATTTGTATTTACGTTAAGATCTTTTTTTTAAGTATCTTCGAGACATTCTGTCCACTTTGACACCGGACGATGTTCGACATCTAATACAAGCTGAGGATGAATTAACACAAACTGGGGATATGGAGCGAGTCTTTCCTACAAATGAAACACACAAGTACCTGGGATTTCTAGCTGGACCGCGGTATTATAACCGTCTCTTTGATGCCTGGGAAGAACGCTATGCGGCCAACAGGGAGCCAGGTATAAAACATATTTATTTATCCATTTCTGTCTGTTTGAAGTAAAATGCTGGATGTAGGCTTTTCTCCAGTTAAGTTGAATTATTATTAACTTATAACTTTACAAGTTTCTTGATAAAATTTTAATTTAAGTAGGGATTAAGTTATTTTTTATCAGTCCGTAAGAGTCAACATTTCGACATTGACCTCGCTTATTGTAATGAAGATTCACCATCTATAGCAGTACTGTACTATACTCTACTGCTTTAGGGAGTCCCTACATTTATCGACGCGGAATCGGCTTGAGCCGAGTTTATATCACCAAACTACTTGGCTTAACGCCGATCAGTTATTGCGACAACTATACACAAGCGATCAGCAGTTTCCTTCGAAAAACCGTCGCGACGGCTGTTCACTTGCATTCGGTGGTCGATTCCCCAGTTGAGACGGTTGTTCTCTTACGTTCGGCAGTCGGCTTTTTCGAACGGTCATCACGACAGCTGTTCATATTCGTTCGGCAGTCGACTTGTTTTATGAATGTGTTGTCCAACGCCGTTCGGCTGTCATCTGCGCCATTCGGCTGCTGTTGGAAATGAAATCATGCGAGCGGATCATTCCAACGCCGTTCGGTCGTTTTCTGCGCCGTCCTGCTGTCGTCGGAGATGAAATCATGCGAGCGGATGATTACGCCGTTCGGCTGCAGACGGAAACTTAAACACGTCAAAGCGGGCGTTCGGCTACTTTCAGCGCCGTTCGGATGCAATTAGCTAATCAGCAAACAGCTCGATTTGCCGCAGCCGACGTCGCGACGGGTCGTCCGAGCCGAACCGATGATATTGGCATTAGCAACACCCCTATTTCGTAGACATAAAGGTTTTTCTGGTTAGCTGACCGAAGTCGATAAATGTTTGGACTCACTGATAATAAATATATTAATATATGTCACAATATTTAAATGTTCATGATATGGGCACGTGTGACGATGCGTGTATTGTGTCTGTGTAAAACACAGACTCTCTTCGACCAGAGTTGGTAATTGATATGCAAATCCAGCGACAAAAAGGTCACCAGTGTTTGGATTTAGCATAATATACTTTTGTGTTTCGTTTATTTAAGTTTGTAATAAGACTGCCTCGTAGTCTAGTGGTCCCAGGGTTCGAATCTCATGTCGCACAAAAAAATCAATTATTGAGTTTTTTCCTAGTAGAAATTCTCAGCAGCGGCCCCGAATCAGGAAGTTGACAGTGTCTCAACCCCGTGCTTCGGAAAGCATGTAAAGCCGTTGGTCCTGTGCCTGATCTCTCTCCAGTCGTGTCGGTTTACCGTTGCATCGGAATATGAGAGTGGGGGGGAATAGAGAGTGCACCTGTGTTTGCGCATACAGTTGGGCACTATAATCCTGTCCTGCGCCGATGGTTAGCTTCCGTTCAGGCGGGCCGCTGTGACCGAAATTCAGTCTGTAGGACATTATAATAAGGCTGAATAAATGCCGTATGGCATTCTTTGCTAGTCAACCCTGAGAATTACAAAGAAAATATAGTTTTTGCTAAAATTACTTAATTTAATTTCATGTTGATAACTAATATTAATTTATTCTGCTTGTGATTTTGATAATCGGAATAACTGCATCCGAGCTTAGTTTAGATCTAGCATTTTTGCAATAGCAAAATGTAAAAAGTCCACTGCTGGACATAGGCTTTTGTAAGAACGTGTTTTGCAACATGTTTGCCGGCGTGCATTGCTTGAGTGAAATTTAAATTCGGAATTCTTGGGTGGTATTTCCGTCATTGGTAAGTTGAAACCCCATCCAATGAACGCAGGTTGAACCTCATACTCAAGCTGAAGCTTAAATTTTGAATAAAGTGGACATATTAAGGGCCTATAGATCTCAAATAGCATAGCAAGATCCTCCGTTATGCCTAAAATAATTCAGCATTAATTTTGAAATAAATATATGGTAAAGTTGAGGCTTAATGTTAAGTACTATGTTAGACGGAAACACGGTTCCGTAAATTTTTTTCGATAGAAATAAAATCTAAAGTTACCTCCAAATCTAACATTAAACCGGTGGTATTCACAAAATACTTTAAATTAAATCATGAAACTTTGCATACTAACAAAACTATAAAGCAGGGCTTGTGTATTTTTTTTAAATTACCGTTATTTTCACTTTAAAAATAAAATACCTAAACTATCGGCGTCCTGAAGCTTGTTCTCTGTCGCCCGATACCCTCGCTCAGTCTCACTTCGGCTTTTGAACGGGAAAGCTTTGTCGCTTACGATCAGAATACGCATTACGCAACAGGACGACGTAAACTTAAAATGGGAAATAACCGTAATAGAATAAGAAGCGACTGGGTTGGGGTAATGAAACAGGCATAAATATGATAAACCTAATGAAATAAGTATGCAACGACCTATCTCTTTAAGGTCGCTGCATACAGGACGGCATCAACTCGTGCACGGGATGGAGACGGATCGTGGTTGTATGTCAACACGGACGGGAGTTTAATGTCAGCACTTATCATTAGGGTCACCGTGACAGTGACTCGAAAATAATGTGCTAGTGTTGTGAAAGATGTATTTTTCATTTGAAGAACTGGCATTAATTGCTATTGCTTCAGATGATAAAGAAGCTACAACAGTTAAGAGTAAAAGGAGATTTTCTGTAGATCATACGTGGCAGGAAATAAGACTAGAAGGATCACCTAATCATTCCACACTCCTGGTACTCATACCACACTCTCTACCAAGAACATTTGGATGACAAACTCAATTTCATATGTATTTTCATATGACAACATAAATGGAAAATAAAGTTTATACTAACTAAAATTTTTAATATTTTGTGTTCAATATGTTGCGCAAGGTTATACAAACATGAACATGCTCAAACATATTAAATTTTTTTGTCGTACATTTCGTTCGGTACAACACGCGCATCACTAGCGCAGCGCCAACGGAGCGACTGTGCATACGGCGGAACCACGGACGGGACGTGGCACGCCCCGGGCGGGACGGGGTAAACATCGTCGCCGACGATATTTTTCCCGTCCCGTTCATGCCACGTCCCCGTCCCGTCCGTGCATCCGTTACGTATGCATTATCACGTACATTTTCTATGAAACGATATTTCCAAAATTTCACGTCCCGCTCCGTCCGGGATAAAACACGTTACGTGTGCAGCGACCTTTACAGTATTAGGGATTAAAAACATGTCAGTAGAGAGCATACGACACGGGGGGGGGGGGAAGTGGGGCCGAAATTAGAATTTGAGCTGAGGTAGTATAGGTCTCTTATCTATTGTAATGAAGATGGGCCAAATTAATAAAAATCGTAACTAACATGTTTCTCTATGCGCAGATATATGAATTTGAAAAAGCGAAAAAGGTATTTCGATAAAGAAAATTTCTTTTTTTGTAGGTTCTTGGTGGGGGAGAGAGGTAAAAAAAAAAAAATTATAAAAAAAAAATTTTTTTGGGCGGGGGGGTTTTTTTTTTTTTTCTTGAGGGGGCGGATTTTTTTTTTTTTTTTTTTTATTTTTTTTTTGGTTAAAAAATAGGGCATTTTGATTCTTCTACAATATATTTAAAAAAAAAACCTGTCCGATCAGTGAGGGTGCTTTTAGATACCGGAATATGATTCTGTTATTACACATAAGACTAATTTGGAAGTAGAAAGATGGGCTAATCTAATTTCTAATATATGTTAATTGCAGGTATTGAGTTGCTGCGTAAGCTGTGCGCCATTGGCTATCACCTGGAGGCACCAGCTGTGCCGCTGCAGGTAACTGTCACGCGCCGCGTCCAGCTGTGGCGGCCGTTGCAGCTGTGGCAACTGTTGCAGCTGCGACACCTGTTGCAGCCGTTGCAACTGTGGCAGTTGTGGCAACTGTGGCCGCCGCTGCAGCTGCTTCTCGCGCTCCTGTCCCTCTGCCTCGCCCGCCTTTGGTGACATCCCGCTTACATCTTCTGTTTATTACTATACTCATTTGCAATTCTCACGAGATTATATGCAGAATACGCGTATAATGTGTTACACATAAAGTGTAGTCATTTATTTAATTTTATCAACTCCTTGTCTTCTATCTCTTCACCATGAGATGATCATTAATTTAATATTCGTGGTCCTTTATTTTGAAGTTTTTACGCAAATAGGATCCAATACCACCAAGAGATACTTTTATGGAAATGGTATTTGAAGCATACATAGGTAGACTTTTGCCGTATTAATTTTACCATAGACTGGCTACAATAGTTTTGGCATATTACATAACTCATTTTTGACGCGAGTGTGTATTTGAGCGATATTACGTAACTAAATCCGTTTAATTTCTCACTCTAAATATAAAAAAAAATACTTCTAATGAGTATAAATATATAATAATAATACTTCCACTTTTAATTAGGGATGTAACGATACATGCCGATACCTTAACAATAACTGAAATAAATAATTGACGTTAGTATGTGTTTTGCACAGAACACAGGAAGAAAGTAAAATTGTATGTGGCTTCTATTGATAATTATAAAATATAATATGTTATATAATGATGTAGTGGTTATGTAGAGTTATGTAGGGGGGGGGGGTAAAAGAATACATTACTTCATTTCGTGGGTGTCGTAAAAAGCGACACAGGGAAACCTTAATAGATGTAAAGTGGCTTCTATCGATAACAACTCAAAATATTAGAAAATCTGGTTGTTACCCTGGCTGCCAATCATGGCTACTATAAAAAATATCTAACCTGTGATGCAATCTAAGGAGGAAGTCTATGTATATTAACGGTCGCCTTTATGTTGATAAACTTAGAATAGGTTAGATGCTATGCCATGCCAACATATAAAATATTTCGGTAATAACGTTTCTTTCAAATTATCCAAATTAAGGGTAAAATCCTCCAGATGAATTTCGATCAAGGCGGTCAGTCTGAACGGAGACTAGACATCTACGCATGACAGGATTATAGTATATAAATGTATGGGCAAATACAGGTACACAGTTCTCTCACTCTCATAATCCAATGGGACGGTAATCCTACACGACCGTGGAGAGATTAGACCTACGGCTTTACATGTTTTCTGAGGCACGGAGGTAAAATACCTGTCTCCGGGCTGCTACTGAGAACTTCTTTTCACAAAAACCTAATAAATGGTTTTGGGCCGACTTGGGATTAGAAACTAGGACCTCATGATTAACAACTGTGTTTACTTCAACATGGAAGTCAAAAAATCCAAATATACTTTACTTATATACTTTTAGACAGCACTACTAAAACAGATTACTGTAAACTCAGTGCCTGATAATCCTATTTATTTATTTAATTAGACTTACCAACTAAGTACATATAAACATTTTGCTATAACATTATATATATGTACTTAAATTATAGGTGAGTACAACACTTTAATATTAACGCCAAATATTTTATTTAAAAACAAAACTAAAAATTTGTTGTATTAGATTGAAATTTTGTTAAAAGAAAACACAAATATAAAATAAAAAAAAGATTATTAACTAAAACCATAGGATAAAGTTATATTTAACATGCTTATTTAATTTATTATCATTTAGAGTGAATGTTTGTATCAAGTTACTTAATATGCTTTTCAACATTCAATTGAAATTGACTGACACTGTCTGAAAAAATATCCATATCTATGTTTGCTTTTTTTTAAAGTCGGTTATATTTGGATTCAATATAATTGGATATTAAATAAACTATTTGTTCTTGGTAACAATACAATTTGCCGTCATAATTCGTTGAACCTACACACTTACACATTTTCTGCACTGTAAAACGTTTTTTGGATATTAAAAGTAAAAACTGGTCATATAGCTTTTACTTACATTATTAGCTGAGTCACAGTTTGGGGTTTTTGTGTACGTATGTATTGGAGATTATGCCGTTAATGTGTTAAATTACAGCTGTGTGAGTAAGTGGTGACATCGGTGTGGCGTTTGGTTTATGTCGCTATAAGAGAAATTTTCTGAGTGCTAACGTAACTGAATCCCTTCGTACCACCTATTATTCGGATGCTATTATATTTCAAGCGTAGAGATATGATAATAAACTTATTGGACAAAAATTGTATGGTCCTATGAGTTTATCTGCGTAGAAGCCATTGTTCAGTAATGTGTAAGACCCCGTTTATTGAAAATAATGTGTTGTGATGTTACTGAGCATTTCTAGTATGTATTATCTTATCTTAAATTAAGAGAGAAAACATTTCCCGTAATCATTATCATCATCATCATCATCATCATCATCATTACAGCCCTTCAGAAGTCCACTGATGAACGTAGGCCTCCCCCAAGGAATGCCACAAAGCTCGGTCCTAAGCCACCTGCATCCATCAACTGTCGCTTGTCTTACCAGGTCGTCACTCCATCTAGTGGGACGCCACCCTACACTTCGCCTACCGGTACGGGGCTGCCACTCAAACCTGCTTCCACATCGGTTGTCGGTTCTTTGAGCTATATGGCCGGTCCATTCCCATTTCAGCATTGTCTATTACGATTTCTCACGAAAACAAAGCGCGCGCTGTTATATAAAATAATATCGGCGAGTTACGTCTCTCACTTTTTATTCGATTCAATAAATTGACAGTTTACGAATTACATGAGAAATATACATATTGTGCGGTAAAGATTATTTAAACATTGATACATAGTAACATTTGTTTCAATACACAAATTAAAATTAAACGCGACAACATCCATAAACTTAGCTTTATTTAAATCACGGTAATCGCGTTAATATAAGAAATCATTATACAGAACTAAGTGTAGCATTATTTCTATGAAATGCTATTAGGTATTGTCAATTATTAAATCAAATTAAAAGTCGAAGTATATGAGTGAGAACTGCATCTGTTTCCTTTCGTTGCTCCAATATAGTAATGTGTATATGTAATGTAATATTTTAATATTATGTTTATATATCAGAGGTTTGCAATTTTCACAATTTTATACACATTTTATCATATGAGTAACATTTAAGTGTTCAGTTGATATTGTCAAGTTTAATACCAATACATTATTTCTCGAAAGAACACTACGGAAATACAATTTTCCCTTGCATTTCTTCAATGAATTAAGATATTTGCCACAATTATTCTAAAACTATGATTGTGTAGTAAATTTCTCAAAATCTCAGATATACTGGTCATATAACTTTTATTGATGATGTATTTTATTTATGTTTTTATTTTAGTTAAAAAAGTTAAATAAATGAGAAAATGAATGTATCATTTAGATTCAATGATCAGCCATCAAAGCGTATATAAGTTTTTAAATAAATTGTATTAGATTTGCATGACAGAAAAAAATTATAATAAAAAATATGGCAATCATAAATACTACGAATTTACACTTAAAATTCAAGACTATGACTCAACTATAAATCAATAACTAAAAACCTTTTTAAGAAATCTGTTTGTTTGGTTTTTAGTATTTTGTATAAATTACATTATTGTGAAAGTTGCAACTAATGTTTATGTTTTATTTGTATGTTTATGCATATTATATTATAATATATTATATTATATTTATTATATATGAATATATTCTATGGATTTTGGTATACTATTATTATGTATTCGATATAATGTATTTAGTTATTGTGTAACAATTCTAAGATAGGACATATTAATTTTTTTAATGAAACACTGCTATATAAAATGGGTTTATGTTACTCGTATACATGAACACACTAGTGAATAAGTGTTATAAATTACAGGGCAAATCGGGAGTTAGTGTGGTGAGATTTTCCTTGTGTTAATCTAGCATGAACTCTTCAATTTTGAATCTATGACGTATATACAAACATTTTTCTCATACAGAAACATATTATTAAAAGACTTTATTGGACAGCAAATATCAAACATAAATTAACAGGTGTTATAGAGAGAACACAAATTGCTTATATAATATTAAAAATTCCGTTTATAATATTTTGAAATTCTTATTTCTTAAAAACAAATTTGATAACCACAAATCAATGATAATTAGTTATAATAGGAAATAATTTCTTTCAATTCTTATTGCCAGAAAAACAAATATTTATGGTACAAATTCTGCCATATCATTAGGTTCTGAAATTTTGATAAAACATTTTAAATTTTTTTGTTTATTTATTCACTTTTGTTTAAGTTGTCTAAATCTTCAAAAATATGTTTTGAATGTAGTGATTCAAAAATTACTTACAGAAAAATGTCTGCATATTCGTTTCTTATAGTCAACCAAATCTAAGAAATACATTTTGACAGCTGCCAGATTTATTGCACCAAGTATGCCAATCAAAAAATGGGAACGTACAATATTCGATTCTTTAAAAAACCGATATCGATTATTTAGAGTTGGTAATCATTTAGTTTGGTTTGAATAATACCAGAATAAATTTAAAACGGATAATTTAAAACACAAGGTTTATCAGTTTCTTCGTATTTGTTGTTACTGCTTATTTCTAGAGGCACAGTTATAAAAATTTAAGATTGAAACTAGATTAAAAATAAATTTATTCAATCATTTTCAGTAAAACTAGTAGATATGTCGTATTTTATATTAATTATTATTAGATTATCAATAATGCTTATGCTTATGCTTCATAAAATTTATGTCTCTTTGAAAGTCATCCATAATAAATTTTTTTTGTTTTATCTACCACTTTTGCCCGATCATCCTTTGTGACATGGGCACATGCTTCAACGAATATTTTTTATAGATTTGGGTGACAAACGAGCACACAGTCCACCTGATGTTAAGTGCAGGCTATGGCCCATAGACATACATATTTATTCTCAATTCAGAATCATAATACAAATGCGTTATCACCCCAGAGGCTTAAGATGGAATGCCTCGATTCCAGTAAAAAGGGTCTCCGGTTCTCTACACTCACCATATGAAACACAGCAGCATTATGCTACTATTTTACGGTGGTATTCTGTGAGAGC